AAAAAAAACTGTATATAGAGCAGTGCTGCTCAGAGAGAGCTTTTGCTCTGTGGGCGTCCATATAAAATCTACGGAGAGCTTTGAATAGTTCCACCCGCCGGCGCTGTTTTGAGCATCACTGATATAGAGACAACGTAAAAAAAAACACATTTCTTTAAAACGTGACTGGTGTTTGCCAGATTGTACTTTCACCCGGTGCTCTCTCATACAAACTGTTTAGTAAGAAGGCTTAAAAATGCCCGGCACGCGTGCCTATGAATTGACTACCTCTGATATAGACGACAAACAAAGGGTGAAAGCTCTCTATGACTTACACAGCTACACTCTCGTATTTACTTTTCACTCACTATTCGCTCGAGCTGTTGCAACGTACATATTTAAACCAGTAACTGCAATTTATCGAAAGTTTAAAAAAGCATTGCACGCAGACACGGCAGACATATCATCGATTTATCGCCAATCGCAACATTAATTTCAGATAGCAATCGCTTTCATTTCAACTGTAAAATCATTATTATTCTCGATGTCTGTCTGTTCTTCAGCGATTGTCGCATAGAATTCGTGGTTTATATGCTGGACTATACGAAATTGTATTGAGTTTTCTAGTACTTAGTATACAGATAGTACTTTGTACATAAATTGTACTGTAGATAATTGTAATTTATTGAACAAACATATGTATAAACAGATGACTAAATATATATATGAATATATATATACATACCTATTTTAAGGCGTCTAGTAATAAACGCGTGATGTAACGTAATCGAGATTAAATGAACTAAAATTCGAATATGAATATATACGAAATTCTGTTTGAAAGAAACAAATAACAAATAAAAATCTATGCATTTTGTAAAAATAACGAACAACTAATAATAAAAAAATACTAAAAAAATATACTGTATTCGTTTTTTTTTTTTTTTAAGAAAACTACAAATAGATAAACTAGCAACAAAATAATACCAAGGGGTAAGTATTCATACATATTATTTATTATGAAGCCACCTCAGTGGCCTTACATACATGTAAGGGCTTTTAATGTGCGCCTAGACTTGTATGGATTTTTTATTATGAATTTCAAATGGCTAAAGTGTCACTGCACCTAAGAAGTTCAGCGAAAAGAGCAAAAGTCTAAATATAGTGTTACGTTTCCTTTTGATTGGAACTTTGGTCAGTGCCAACATAGAAACCATTATGCTGAATTTATACTGGGTACAAAAGTAACAAACAAATTTATACCATTTGAGGGATGCCAAGTAACACTAAATAAAGATTTTATCAACTTTGTCATACTTTTTCCATTTAGTGCTCAGTGGAAATCCAGCATTGTGTGTTTTCTTAAAACTAAAAAGACCGGCATATTTCCATATGCTAGCCAAAACTTTGATAATCTTTCCACATTTTAGCTGACCTTAGTCGTTTAGGACATCAGAGAGAGTTTAAAAATGCCGGCTTTTAGAAACGAAAATCGGTCTAAAATCGCTGACTAAGGACGATATTTTTAAATGAAATAGGATACAAACTGAGGATAAAGAGTAAGAGAAATTAAAAAATAAAAATAAAAGGGCAATAGTAAAGAAGATTAAAAAAGGGGAAAAAATCAAGAACAAAAATATGAAAAAAAAAATTATAAAAAAGATAAAAAGCATAAAAAAGATGAGAAAGTTAGAAAAAAAGAAAAGAGATAATAGAAAATGAAAAAAAGGTAAAAATGAGAAAAAGAAAAAAAGAATAAAATGAGAACAAAAAATTTGCAAAAAAAAGAAAGAAAAAAGGATACAAATTAAAAAAGAAAAAAGGAAAATAAAAAAAAATAATGTTAAGAAAAACAGAAAAAATAAGAAAAGTTAGGAGAAAGAAAAAAAGCGAAAAGATAAGATAAAAAGGGAAAAGGTTAGAAAAAAAATAGAAAAAAACTAGAAAGAATTAGACAAAAATTGGAAAAAATAAGGAAATAAAAGGTAAAAAAGAACAGAGAGGAAAAGAACAGAAAAATGAGAAAAAGGAAAAAAGCAAAATGAGTAAGTAGAAACAAAACAAGAAAACAAAAAAAAAGAACAAAATACAAAATAAAAGATTAGGCAACAGCAAAAAAAAATAAAAAAAAGCAATAAAAAATAAAAGATTAAGCAACATAAAAAAAGCAAAAAAAAAACGA